CAACATACAAATATCAACATGTGAGTATCTTGTGCCGGATGGCGGTCTTGGTTTCTTGGTTTGGGCGAGGGAAGTAAATCCACGACGCTGCTGGCAGTGCGGACAGGCTGCGGATCAGCAGGCTGACGTGCATAGAGCGTCCTGTCGTCGGACGGCAGACGGCGAATATCGTCTCTTGCGTCGCCATTCTGTTCTCTTTCAAGGGGGCTCGGTTGAAGGTGACTTGCACGTACTAAGAGGGCCAGCGCGCCTTCTCGCTACAGTGGGTCTTGGTCCAGATAATTCATAGCAAACTGGACTGGCGCTGCTTGCTCGCCAGAGCTGCAATGGTGGTGTTCGCTCTTCTTTCTTTCGCGCGTCTGAAAGAGATGGCCAGACTCTGAATTACACGCAAAGAACTGCGTTCGACGATGATCTTTGCGGCCAAAGCGGCTGACAGCGCTTCTACGGGCCATTGAAAACGTCCTCTCCGGTTGTCCCATGTAAGTTGCTACTCGAGAGAGGCACTGAGAGGAACGCGCCATCTCGAGGACCCATCTACACGGTACGCGTGTAAACGTGGTGTCGTCGTCGTGCGTTTGGGCAGTTGCCCGCAAAGCTACTCTTTTAGAAGCCACCGCCTTTTTGTCAATTCTCGAGTCATAGTACGCCGGAACTGTATCGTCCAAGGCCAAGGTAGTAGACAGAACACCATGGTCCATTCTCCAAGCAATCGCATCCAAGACGACCGAGTTACGAAGGTCGGTCTCACGACGGACGCGTGGGATCGCCGTCAAAGGAAACGCCATCGTCCAAACATACGGTGGCGCGAGGCCCAGCTGCTACTCTTGTGGCGTCGATATCAGAATAAACACGCACATAAAGTGGAGGTGCGAAGCCACATCGATTGCGCCCACGACTACTCTCGGGCCTGCCATCCGCGCGCCGTGTCCGCAGCTCGTATTACAAGGGAGACTCGACAGTGCCTTGTTGCCAGACGACGACGACGACGACGAATACGAATGTCGAAGTAGGTGGTGACGTAACAGCCCACCTACGTGCTGAATGGGGATTTGGGGCTCAACACTGCTGGCTTTTACGTCTGGCCGTAGACGCGTTCGGCGCCACGTGGTGGTGCGCGGCCGAGCGGTGTCGGGAGGTGTCGAGTTACTCGCTCTCACCGGTCAATAAACAAATGGAATGATGGCGTGTGGGTATGCCGACTCCAACTAATGTACAGTTCGAGACGCCGATCCTCGCCCGCGATAAAAGTACCCAAGTATTCCTTCGTCTCCATCGGCGACGAGACCATAGCGGTGTGGGACGTAGCACGCGTGGTGTTGACAGGCGTTCGCGCGCCCGATCAGCTTTTGGCTTGCAGCCGCTTCAACGACGGTGAGTGTGCAACCGAAGTTTTCTCGAAGCAACATCCCACGGCTTGCGGCTTCAACGGCAAACTCACGCGCGCCTTTACCTTCGAACTTCGATTGGTACCCTGTCACCTTCTTTTGCATCATTTGAGCATTCGGCCGCCCGAGGCAACGACGATGGCGATGGCGATGAGCAGCTACAACCACATCTTTGTCGAGAATATGGTCGACGGCGAAGGCGACAAGCCGTCGCGCATCTTGCGGCAAGACCAGCTCCTCATGCCGCACTTGTACCAGCCCACGAAAGGCTGCCACGCGTGCCATGAGTGCACGAAAGCCTTTACGACCTTTCGTCGCAAACACAACTGCCAAATGGTATGCAATGACGTCGTCGACGATCCCTCTCACGATGGCCTCTAGTGCGGCCACGTCGT